CATCTTTTGTATAATGAGGAACTACTGAGGTTTTCTTGAGACTTTCCTTAAAACAATGCTTAGCCTGTATATGAAAAATACTCAAATATGCATTGTATGTAAGGAACATAAAAGCTTTCTGAGACTTTTCTTGATTTCCTTAAGTTGAAATAGACTTGAGGAATAGCTTGTTTTGGCTTGTTTCCAGTGATAAGTAACTAACTCTGCAAAATCAATGTTTAGTAAATCACTGGAACATTTGCTAATAAGATGGTTGAATAAATTAGTTTTTAATTGAGTTAAATAATTGTTTAATCAAATGCATGTGCTTATGTTCTTTCTTGCTAGATTTGGATATTTCAATCAAATCGGATTTTTTCAAACTCATCTCCAGTAATGAAGTAAAGATATTTTTTCAGCAGTTAAATTAGATCTTGCCACATCATACTTTTATGTTTCCAAGGAAAACACAAAGTCCAAAATCACAATAGTAGTATGAAATTTAGTACTACTGGACTGTCTCAAGTTCCTCAGATTTTAACCTGCATGGAAAGTTCCTTAAACTCTGCATTTCCTATACACTGTAAGAACCAGACACTTCTTTGCAACCTGTTGTTATTAGTCAGCAGTTTTGAGTCTTTAGCGTAGTTCACTCTTTGTTACTTTTGTTCTGGGTTGAGGACTGGTGTGACACAGAAGGGCTGTAAAAGCATCTGGTCTGCTTGGGAAATAGCTATTCTCATAGGGAATACAAGCTGTTTTTAACAGGAAATTTCTGATGCAGTGAACTTGTTAGGTAGGTCACCAGATGGAAATTTTATCATCTCTTGGAAGTGTCAGTCACTGCAGAATAATCATTAATATTCCAGAGTGGGTCCAAACTGCATGACTTAGAGCAATCTTTTTTCCTATTGCGTTTGTTCCTGCTTGAACACCTTCAGCAACAAAGATTCTCATGTACAGTCTCCCAGTGTAAGCTGTCTTTCTCTTTTAAGGGTGTGTATTTTGGGCATCTTCTCAAAGAAGGCAACAGCTGTCTTACATACCAGCAAGGCCCTGTAGTGTTTGTGCATGCTGAAAATATCAAACTTGTAAGTCAGCAAACTAAGAGAGCAGGAGTAATGATGCAGTGAAACGGGCAGAGAGGGAGAGCAGCATAGTGTAATGGGTTGGAAATTCGGCACCTGAGCTCACTAAACACGCTAATTCTTGACTTTTTATGAGTATTGTTACGTTCTGTACTTGCTGGTTCCCTCCATTATTCCTAAACTGTAAAGGTGGTGCATAGGATGCACTTGTGTTTGTGTGCCACAAACACTTTCTTCTGGAGATTGTTTCTTTTGTTCTAATTTTGAGTTGAGGAAGATTTGAAAACAAAAATCAAACTTAGTTCACCTCTTCTAAAAAAAAACCCCAGGAAAGCAACTGTTAAATACCATGAGTGGAAAATGTTACATATAAAAATATATATTGAGGATAGAGAGATATTAATTTTTGTGGAAGGAGACTGACTTAATTGGTTGCTCTTTCTATGTTGATGTAGAAGCAGTTAATCTCAGCATGGGTCACTTTTGCTTAATTTTTGACATCATCTGTCTTTTCAACATATGTGGGGTTAGATACAGTCAAAGTAGTGTGGTCTTAAATTGGTCAAATTGATTTCTGAACCTCTGCTGGTTTTTTTTAACTAGCAATTCTCTGGGGTTAAGATGAATCACAGTGTACTAGACCAAACGCATAGTGAGAAAAGCTGTCAGAAATTAAGGGGAAATATTCTTAGCTTTGGCTCCATACAAATGTTAGAACAAGACATGAATAACACAACTGTGTTATTCATAGGGAAACACGAAGTGATGAAGAGTGTGATTGGGTGAGAGTATGAGACAGAGCATGGGCAATCTTAACTGTTAAGAATGGTCTTCTGAATTTGTCAGATGTCTCATGCTGATAATTATGTTTGGTAGTCTAGCTGGCCTAGCAGGTAAGGGAAGTAGTAGCTGCAGACACAACTGGATTCTAAAAATGCTTTTTAAGACTGTACAACTAGAAGGCTTACTCTGCTTTGTCTTCCTGACTTATGGTCTTGCTGGTAACTACTGTCTCTCTGACAAAAGAGTCAGAATTGTTTTTTCCTATGTCTTCTGAGCTCGGACTTTGAGACGGTTATCTGAGGAACTGAATACTGACAGTTATCCATTGGTACAAAAGCTAGGGAATCATTTGTTAAAGCAATAATTGGCTTAATCTATGATAACTGATTATTGATGAGATAACATTAAGACTGTGCCTTAGGTGGGGTTCTGCAGAATTCTCCTAAAGCTTGAATGCTAACACATTCAAAAGAGCCTCAGTAGGATTGAAAGTATGCATAGAAAACAAGTCATACCAAATACATTTAAAGATGGAATTCAAGTTCTAAGCAGTCTTGGAATTAAGTGTGCCTGCAGTGTTGTGGAATTCATTACACAAATGTGGAGCCATATGTTGTTGTAGGATGGCATAAAAGCTGCATATGAATACAAAACTGTGGAAAACTAGCAAGGCAGAGGTAATGGAGAAGAGTGTTTGGGATCCATGAATGCTGAAACAAACATAAGAACTGAATTTTTAGGGGAGGGGCGGAAGCAGCCTGGGATGTGTTAATAAGGATGTGGTTTGTAATATGTAATTATTCTGAGCAACTTAACCTTGCTGGGGTTTCAGTTGAAGTATTGCCTTGTCTAGGTGTTCTGCTTTTAGAAATGAACAGATCAAAGGGCCCAAGAGTGGTAACGAGAACAATCAGAGTTTTGGAAGGAGTAGCTATCCAGAAAGATTCAAAGTGTTAAGACATACATTTTGGAAAGAAGAAACAGGGGCTTGAGCTGCTTTGGAGCAATTCATGAAGGCTTTTTCTAAGGAGCACATTATGGGAGTAGCTGGAAAAGAAACTGGCTTAACTTTTAACAGAATATGTTGCAGTTGAAGTCAGTGATTTCTCAACTAGAAATTCTAAGTAGCGTTCAGACAACATGAATGAAGTCATGAGCTTGAGAGCAATACAGATTCCTTCCTTATTTCTCAGTACCCTATATTGTTCTAGTTAAATTCTTTATCCAAGTTGTCTTATAATTTGATTAGTCTTTTAGTCATGATCCCAACTAATAAAACATTAGAGGCTGCTGTTTTTCTTGGGAGATAGAGAATATAACAGTAGTCAGCTTAGGTGTTGGTTAAAAGATTGATTTAAAGTCAAGTTTGCAATATTATTTTAACGTTACCAGTGAAACAGCAGATATCTAAAGTTTTAGTGTGCAGGAAATGTGGTTGTGGAGAAAGACAAGTGAGATGTGGTTTATGTAAGATGATGGTACCATTTTGGTATTAAACACAAGATGTGTAACACGTAAGATTTTAATAATATTTCAAGCTGAACTTTATCACTTGTAGTTAGCTCATTGCTTTATCTGGTCTTAGTGAACCTTCCTTAATTTCCTATGATTCACAGTTTCTGTATGTTCACAAGTTCCTGTAGTCTTTATTCTCCTCCCCCCATCTGACAGTTGGTTCAGACTTCATAATATGTCTTTGTTTTCTCAGCTTGCAGTACTAAATAACTTTGGGAGTGTATATTCCCAATGAATAGTTGCTGTGAAACATGGTTATTTTTGTTGAAGAACTTTAATTTGCTTCTGTTCGTAATTTCTTCTCATTCCTAAATCATTTCTGGTCTTTCAGTTTTATAAGGATTTCAGATATGTTGAGTTGCAGTACTCAAAAGCAATTTTAATTAGCTGAGGAAATGAAAGTCAACAACTTCTTCACAATTCCATTGAATAGCTTTGTTTACCAAGGTCTAAAATACCCAGACTTCTGTCCCTACTGCAGTTTGTTCTTCTAATATCTTCTTTGAATTTAATGTTTAGGCTGAAATTTCTAGGTTTATCTATCCTTTGAACCTGGTGCTTCATCTTTGCACTGCAGTTGTCGCAGAGTACTGCTGTATGTTCTCAATGCTACCATCACTTAGTGCTTTTTTTGTATTTATTTATGTCATAATTTCCAGAATGTGTGGTTGAAAATAATGAAAGAGAAACCCCCCTGGAAAACAACTAGGAAATAATGTAATGTATGGCTGACTGGTGGTATTACTGTGTTAAGCATCAGCAGGGGGTTGTCTGCTGATACTGAAGTTAGCCAATTAAACATGAAATACTTGCTCTATCTGTATGTACAACTGAGTAAATAGTACAGCTTACAAAAAGTGCCGTGCTTTTGTTGTGTCTGTATATACACACATAATTTTTTATATATAGATACGCGTATTTTATATATATGCATGTGTGTATATATCTATGACAATACAATGTTTTGAAGAAATGTTGCCCATGAAACCTAAAGTGAGTAAGAAAGAAGCCTCATTTTTTTTTTCCTTAAGGGAGTGCTATGGCATGGGTAGATAAAGAAGATTTTTTGTAGATGTGCTTCCCAGATTGAGCCAACCAGAACAGTATGCAAGGGTGAAAAGAATGTTTTCTGCAGGCTGCTTAGCTGTGGGTGTGGAGCAATTGAACAGTGGGTGTAGGGGCCTTTCCTGGTGGTCCTGTGCCATTGTGGGAGTGGACCCATACCTGGCACCTGAGCAGTCCCACCACATGGAAGTTGTGTGATGTGGTCAGACCCATCTGTGTCCTTGAGGTCATGCACATTGTTGGCCTGCATATGAGCATGTCTGGTCATGGTAGTGGTAAGGGAGGGTGGTTTGTAGTTTCTGTAAGAGCTCATGCAATTTAATAAGGAGGAAATTAGGAGTCCTACTGCCATACACGTGTTAAATTTAAAAGACCTGGTTTCACCTAAAACCTGTTGCCTCAAAGTTGGGGTCACATAGGTATCTAATGTATGAAGCCAGTACATACCTCATTTTTTAACCTCAGGTGTTTAATGTGATGGTCTGAACTGTTAAACACTTGATATTTTGAGAGACAGAAATACATCGTGTTAAATTTGTAATTAATTTTGTTTGCTTTTTTTTATTTCAGTTTAACTTTGTTGGAAGAATCCTTGGGCCCAGAGGGCTAACAGCTAAACAACTTGAGGCGGAAACAGGATGCAAGATAATGGTCCGAGGGAAGGGCTCCATGAGGGACAAAAAGAAGGTAAGCTCCTGAAGGGTGACATAGTTTCAGATGCATAGTGTTGTTTTCTAATGGAGAGTAAGCTCAAGTCTCTTTTTTGTTGTGTTCTTACTGTGTGCTTTTTCATTACCTAGTGTCTTTTACAGACTTAGAAAATAACACAACCTATCATAAAGAAGTTAAATGTGCATTATCAGTTATAAAGTATTCTGGAGTAATAAGTAACATAACTGTGTCACATTTCACAAGTAAAGGTAGAAATTTAAGTTAAATGTACTTTTCTAAGAAAGAGCTGTTAACCTCAAAGATGTTATCAATAACTTTGTTATATTGAATTACCTAAGTAGTGATTTGTGCAAGTGGTGTGGATTGGAAAAAAACCAAAAAACCCAACAGTTTAATGTATTTCTGGCAGTCAGTTCTGTCTGAGCAAAACAAAAAGCACTGAGTTCCTGGTTTTGTTTGTGTTCCGGTAGAGTTGCAATGTAATTAGGGCTGTTCCTTGCCTTGTCCTGTAATATGCATGCTCTGCCCATGTAATTAGGGAAACTGCATGATAGAGCCATCCTGAATGTCAGGTTGCTCTCATGGCAACTCCTGGAAGTCATCTATTTTATAAGTTTATTTTCTAGCTATATCCCTCCACCTGTGCCTACTGCTGCTGAATTACACAGCATCTCCACTGCAGTTTTGAAATGTGCACTTAACAGTGCTTTTTTCCCCTCTTTGTTCCCAGAAGTATTGTTTCTTTCAGTTCTTTCTTAGAAGACCCACTCTCTTCCTTCTCTGGTCAACCACATAAAACATTCTATTGATACATGTGTAGCACATAACAATTACAATAGAAAGCAATGTCTACCCAGTCAAACATCTTTTCGTTGCCAGAGCTTATGACTGTATCACTTGCAAATTTGATTTGACACCTCTTGTTTTCGTAGTCTGCTGTAAAACTGTCACCATCCCTTCTCTTATTCTACCTGTGGCTATTGGATGTTTAGATTTCCAGGTGCTGAGTAAAGATCTATTCTAACTTAGAGAGATTTTGGTCGTCTAGATTGTGGAGAAGTAAGAGGTTGATATTGTCTTAAATGCTTGATTTATGCAGGTTAATTTTGTGAAAACATCAGGTCCTGAATTCCTTCTCGGAGGGGACATTTAACATATAAATGAGTCCTAGCGTTACGGGGTTTTAAACTGTAATTGGGTAAATAGAACTGGTAGAGTCAATATGACTGGGAGCTGGTGTGGGCAACAGAATTTCTGAGTATTAAAATTTCATCATGCTTCACCTGACATACAAATTGTATGGATGTCGAAGTTTTATTTTGAAGCAAAGTATATGGTCGCCAATATGGGAACAATTTCAATTACTTTGCTTTGTTTGTGAATAATAATGTCCCAAATTTTACATATTCTGTAGGATTGTCTTTAAATAAAAAAATCATCTGGGCAGAAGTTTTAGCAAAATTATTGTCTCTCTTTAAGAGTTTGCAGCATTCACGTAGTTTTTCTAAGAGAAGACTAGTCAATCTAGTTTTGAAAGTTACCACTTTTTGACTAGTAGATTAATTAGATGTTAGGACTTCTGATTGCAGGTAAAACAATGCAAATCATCACTATGTGGAATACAGTAACATTTAGTTTGCAGTCAATGAGTTCTTGAACTATAAGTTCCAAAGAAGTGTAGACAGCTTAAAAACGTGAGTACTTAAGAGGTAATTCAACTTTTTCCCTACTTTTTAAAAAGGCATTGGGTTTGTTTTTTTCAGTAATACCATTCTTGTTTTTATTTCTGAGCATAATTTAAGTTCATTGCTGCTCCCTCTTTGTTTACGAAGGGTAATTCTAGGTTGGAATAGTTCATCAAGTGTTTGGTTATGTAACTTTTTTTCTGAATAGAAATTGCTAGTTCTGGTTCATTTATGTTCGTAGATCTCATAAGAGAAGCCATTTAGGTGTCTAGTCTTCAGAAAATTGTTAAGAATAGGTTGAGACCCCAAGCTTAATGTCCAGAAATAACATCTCACTGTTAGTTGTGAACATATGTATATTTAAGACAGTCATTAATGATGATGTTCTGCTACATCCTTAAAAGATTTTTGGGGTTTTTTGGCTTTGCTCTGTCAAAAATTATACTTAATTGTGCTAGAAATAGCTATACTTGTAAACAGCTACAGTAGTTTAAAAAGAAAGAAAAGAACCTGTACCTGAGACCTCTGTTTTTCTTCTGAAGAGACCCTTTTGTAGAATGTATTTAGAGTAAAATTAATTCAGATTTCTGGAAATTTGTGTTCCTGGGTCCCCATGTCATAATCCTTCATTCTCTCTCTCTCTCTCTGTCCTTGTTCATACTGACCTGAAAATGAAGTGAGCCTATGAATTCCACATCAGGTACTGCAGCCATTTTCCAGGGTGTGACTAGCTGCATTTTTATTCAAACTGTACACCCTTCCTTCTTTGAATGATTTTTATATGAGGTCTCACTAAAGATATATCCTGCTACCAGTGATGTTCTGTTTCTACACTATTAGCAGGGCAGGCACTTATGCACCACCAGCCTGTGTAGCATACATGTTTGCACCATGGACTTCGTTACTCTCGACTGCCAGCGGGGATAACACACCTTCTCTGCAGTGTTTCATGTTCTGACCTATCCATTCTATGTTCATGTAGGTCTTGAAGTTTGTGAAATGTCTGTTACAGAATCCCAGAATGGTGGAGGTTGGAAGGGACCCCTGAAGATTCCCCTCCTAAAGCAGGGTCACCTAGAACAGGTTGCCTAAAGACTGTGTCCAGATGGCTGTTAGGTTTAGAATCCTCTGACCACTGTGCTTCAGAACCTGTCCTCTCCTGTGGGGAGCCATCTACAGACGATAGCTTGGGCAGATTTACTCTCTGGGGAAGTGGGTTTTTTTGGACTGATTTCCCCCACTCTCCCCACTTTGTGATTTGTTGGGGTTTTTTTCTTTCACTGTTCAGAGGAGAATAGGCAGTGTGAGTTACTGGAGTTTTATATTTGAGAAAAAGCTTAGAGGAGCTGACACCTTCTGAATGAGTCACCTGTTTTTTTGAAGTTTAGTAATAAAAGAAAAGCTGTTTTCAGCAAGGATAAGTTCCATATGGCAGATCAGCTAGAACCTTGTGCATGTTACAAGCTACAAGTTGATTCAATCTGCACTTGAATGACCATTACATCTGAGTTGGTTGTCTCATGTTTTTGGAGCACCAAGTACTTGAACCATTGATGTCATGAGATAATACTTAGTTGAACAGTATTGAAGTATCGAATGAATAGAGTTAGTGTTGAATATGTTTAAATGATATAATAGAATAATATATTTGAATACCAAATAGTATGATATTGGTTGTAAACCAGTGTTGAGTACCAAATAATTTTCTTGATAAAACTAATTTTCATGCTATTCATTCCTAATCTTTCTATAGCTCTCCTGATGTGAGTTATGTTAGTCATTAGTTTATCTTTGTCCGAATGGACATTTTGGTGTTAAAACATTGTTGATGTAGTAGGAAGAGTTTCATAATCCTTGATTATGATGCAGTTTGTGATACACACCAATAGGATGCTTCTTGTAAAAATAAAGATTTGGAAGCTGTATTGAAGACACGATGGTCACAAACAGACTAAAGGTTGAGTGACATCTGTCAGTTTGGGGCATAAGTACACTTCTGGCTATTGGCTCTTGCCTCTTTTTGCTCATGAATTATACTTACAGATGAAGTCCTTAGATCTCAGTGGAGGATGACAAACTTTCTTGACAGTCTGTACCTTTTAAGGATAAGCACCCTTTTTTCATATTCTCAAAGGGTTTCTCTCTTTGCAGGTTGTCCTTCAAAATGCTAATGCACTTGGAAGTGTAAAATACAGAAGAAATAGTATTTCTTGTATGGAAGGTTAGGTTATGCGAATTCTTTTTTAAAACCCTTTCTTTCATCTAGGGTCAACATTACTTAGAAAAGTGAGTATTCAAGATTTTTTCCAGTTTTTCACTGAATTGCTTTGAAATTTGGAGGAGATAAGAAATGCAGGTTAATTTGTGTGTATATTTTTAAAGTATATTTCATATCTGCAAACCTGATTTCCCAGTGCTAATTATAAAAGAAATCTTACTGGTTGTGGTAAAGAGTTAAGTTACTAAGCCAATGTCATTCTAATGTGACTGCTACATGGTACTAAATACCATCTCCTTGAGTAAACTGCCCATCTACTTTTCCTACCTTGCTGTGGTCACAGAATCCAAAAGAAAATATTAAATGCCAGAAAATAAATCATCCAGATATGTTCTGTAGAGAATTTTACTCTCCTGTGTGAGCCTGTGAGCAGAAGTAATGAATTAGAAATCTTTATCACATGGCCAAAACACTTGAACTGGCATCACGTCTTGAAATTTGCTGACAGATTTCCCCCAGAAAGCAAGGGATATCCTCAAATCGTTTGTGTCTGAGGCTCAGCTGGTAGTCAGAACATCTCTCTAGGCAGCTTTCAACAAATTTAAAATCAAAACCTTAATTACTGAGAATATTGCGATTAGAGCCTGGGGGTACTTGAAGGAGATTATTGGAGAGAGGAAGGGGATTGCAGGCATTCATCAAAAACTAATGAATGTGTAACTTTATTAAGACCATGGCACTTTTTGTTTAGCCTGAACGCACCTTTCATTAGGTAGTGGGGAAAACTAGCATTTTCCACACCAGTTAAAAAACACTTTTTAAAAATGTTGTCCAATGATGGCTAAGAAAAACATTTTTTTAATACTTCCCTTGTCTTATGTGACTTCTGCAAAACAGACATTGACACACCCATAGAGAGTTAGCCTTGTGCTCTTTAACACACTGACTACCATTATCTTACTTAGAGGGGAATGAAGCTTTACAGCATCGGGCTGCTGGCTTGTGGCAGTCTTGGTTAGCTCCACTGGTTTTTTTTGCCATTTCTTCCTACTTTTAGTCAAGAATCTCCTCTTGAACAGAGTGTCATGAGAGAGCAATTATTTTTACTCCAT